AGTTCTTTCCTCTATTTCCTTTTACTTTCCTCTTGTCCCACTATCATGTTCAGCCTTCATTTGGGTTTCAGTAATTCCTCTTGGTTACATTGCCCTTGTTCAAACCCTACCAGGCCTTCTACAACCTCCTTACCACTGATTTTAGATAACTTGTTGTTCCTTTGTCCCTGGGTTTGTTAACACACACTTCTTTTCTCCTGCCTCCCCCTCACCTATGTCCCCCCGAAACTATTGATCCTGTTGTTTTCTCCTCTGGATTGTTTATCCAGCCTATGTTATCGAGATAGACCTGCAGAGATAATAATATGCACAAAAAACAAGTTAGAGCAAAACAAAGAAACAACTAACAACAACAACAAAAAGAAAAGCCTGTAAATAGTTCAAGGTCTATTTGTTGACCTTTAGGAGTGTTTTCTGGTTGAGTCTGATGGGGTGCCACATCCTGGCCCCAAAGTCTATTTTTGGTATTCCCTCAGAATGCCTTTGTTCTGTCCCACTGGCTGTTCTGTTGCACACCCTTAGTGGTTTACCTCTGTGTGGTGGGGTCAGATCAGGCGTAATATCTGCAGTGTCTCCAGTGTTGTCCCCCATAGGGCTATGGGTCAGTGAGGGGGGATGTCTTGCCTCATAGTGGGGCTGGCCATATGGTCCTCTCTGTGCTTTTGCTGCTCTGAGTGGGAATATTGTCCTCAGGGGTTAGTGGGCCAGGATTTGTCCCACTCTCTCTTCCTCTCCCTTCATTTGCTCCAGTGTGCTCTGATCAGACATGTCCCTCTCCCTGAGCTGTAGCTTCAGTGTTGTCCTCTAAAGAGAATTCTTCTGTGGGAAGGGGGTGCTATACATGCAGTTGGGATTGGGGCCAGTCCCTCTGATCTCTCTATTGGTTCCCTGCTTCATGCCAGTATGTTGCATTCACATCTTGGAGCATGTTTTTTTAAAATAGTTTTATCAGCTATTAAAAGGGGGTAGTTGTACCTTTCTTTCAAGTGTTGAAGAGTAAGGAAACAAATAATTCATGTAAAGCAGTTATTACTGTATTCAGGCAAGAGTAGGTGTTTTACAAATTAGACCATTAGGATAATGCAGATAAGATTATGTAACCTAGGTCTAACCATTTGAATTCTTCATATAGCATGAGTCTTGCCATTAGTGCCTTTACTATCTCTGGAAACTGGAAATATCTCTTTACGTTTAAAATTATAAACAGATTGTAGACTCCTGCTTGCTTTTTGAAAAATGTATTTCAAATATTTAATACTCTATTAGTCTTATGGGTTTTTTTGAGGGGGGCATGGGGATATTTTGTTTCCTGACATAAAAAATTTTATTCATGTACGGTGGTTAAGAGCATGAATCTGGGGACCAGGTTGCCTATGTTGAATCCCAGTCACTTCTTTGAAATTCGGTTTCCTTATCTGTAAGATG